CCTGACGGGCGCTCCCTGGTGCATCCCCGAGTCTCAAACCCATTGCTGGCGCCTGTGGGGGTGTGTCCTCTCCAACCTCTATCACTTCCTTCCCTGCACGTCTCCCCATRTCGCCTAGCCTGCTCTCTTGCTGAGTACCCTGCGCCTCCTCTCGTGACACCTCCTCTCGTGGTACCTCCTCACGTGGCACCTCCTCTCGTGGCACCTCCTCTTGTGGTACCTCCTCTCGTGGCACCCCTTCTACTTCCTCTTCATGCTTCTCATCCTGAGGCGACGCTCTCCACTGAGAGATATCCAGATGCGTCTCTAACTCTCTCAACGGCCCTTCAGACACTGGCGTCTCCTCCCGTGTGTGTGCTGGTGACCTCCTCAATCCACCCTCAGTAAAACGATGGAACTCCACTGGTCCCAACCCACACTCAGGATATGCCCCTCGCTCTTCAACCTCTGGCTCCCGCTCCGACTCCTCCTCTCTCCTGGCTAGGGCCTTCCGTCCTCCCCGAGACGGTCTCACCTCCCTGGGCTCAGGGTCCCTTGACCTCTGACTCCTCTGACGTCTTTCGACTCTGGGGTGGGGGGACTCTGGCCGTCGAAAGGCCTCTCTTAGATGTGCCCTGCAGCTTTCCCAGTCCCGGGCCATGTCTCTGATTTGGCTAGCTAGCGGCCTTTCCGCCTTCCTGGTCCAGAGTGGTAGCGTCCTCGCCCACTCATCTCTCGGTATACCCTGCCCCTACATGAACCACTCGAAAGCAGGGATGAAGTCTGCCACGTTTTCGATCTCTAGACGAATCGGCCTGCCATCTGGTCCCACAGGCGAGGGTCGCAGTTCCTGCATCCTCCACTCCACCTCTGATCTCGTCGTCGCCTCTCTACGGATCCGCACGACGGGCTCCTCGAATCTGTCGACTCCCCTCAGTCCCTCGATTGCTTGGGCCACGGTCCAGCCCATATGCCTCGCATGATCCCAAAAGCTGTCCAGGAATAGCTCGATGTCCCCATCATCGTATACTGGAGTACTCTCTCGATGGCGAGGCCCATGTCGCTCATATCCTCCTGATGCTCCCAACGACCTCCGAGGCGGCCGTGTCCCCCTCCCTCCTCTTGGCATGGCTGTCTTCGTAAAGTCAGACCTGCACAACAGGCGAAGGAGACAACAGGCACACATTGGGGTAAGCAAAACAGGTGATAATCAAGCAAACTTAGACCAGACCACACTCACACAGCATACATCCTACCTAGCCAACACACCCTGCTACTTCTATTCTAAAGGCAATCAGGTCGTCTCTCTTACCTCTTCTCTCGCCACGAATTTCTTCAGACGCGTTCCAGATACCCAATCCTTCCACTCAGTCCCATTTAGCTCCTCTATCTGATACGCTCCGAAGTCTCCGACCTGTACGATCCGGTAGGGACCTAACCACCTCTTATCGAGCTTCCTTGACCATTGCTTCTCCAGTGATGAATCGTAGAGAAGCACGACATCTCCAACTGCCAAGGGTACCTTCCTCACCCGCGCAGATTGATCCCATCGAGCGTTATCATCCATACGACTTCTCGTCACCTGGTCAGACGCCTCCTGGATCCTTTCTTCTATCGCTCCTATCTGCCGCGCCTGAATATCGAGCAATTCTTCAAATGACAGGTTAACTTCCAGATCGTGGCGCCTCCATGTCTTAAGAAAGCTCTCGATAGGGAAGGTGGCGTGCCTTCCATACCACAATGTCGTCGGTGCGTGCTTGGTGGATCTTTTTATTGTAATGTTCTCGACAAAGAACGCCGCCCTTAGGTATCTTGGCTATTGATTAGGCCTACCTTCGGTCCACTTAGCCAGGAGACTCGTAATGGTACTATGTCCTCTCTCTACGGGAGCATTTGCCTGGGGGTGCGCGGCCGTGGTGTAGTTGGCTGCTACACCATACCTTGATAACAATTTTTGCACTTCCTGGCAGGTAAACTCCGATCCCCTGTCCATTACGAATTCCCTGACGAAAGGGTAACGCAGGTAATATTCCTCGATGCAGCTCACTAAGACTAACCCGGTCTTGGTGCGAATAGCATGCCCGTCTACGAACCCAGACAGGTTATCGCGCGCATCGAAGATATAGTTATAGCCCTGATCCCCAAGTGGCATAAAAAGCAGATCGAGATGCACTACGGCCCC